GGTATACTGGCTGACGCTGCCAGGATAGCTCCAGGTAGAAGTGTGAGGTCCCCCGCCTCTATTATAAAGTTTGGAATATATAAATCAGGTAGAAGTGTGAGGTCCCCGCCTCAGAGGAGAAATGGTCCAAAAAAAAAAAAGAAAAAAAAAAAGGTCTAAATTAAAAAAAATGAAAAAAATTTGCACGCTATCATCATGGCGGTAGATGTAACTGTGGGCTTGGCTGCACCACATCAAATGTGGAAAAGAGAAAAATATACGGTGTGCATCTTTCCACGTTCTAGGGGGAAATGCATTCTCATTTTGCCCATTTGCAGAGTGGCGCGACGAGGCCCTATATTATGAATCTGCTGCCGGCCGAGTACGGTGGACAAGAGTCATCCCGCTGCGCAGCAGCAGCAGCAGGGAAGTGCGCTAATCGGCGGTGGGCAGGGGGTAGGGTGGGGGGCAACATGCATAGCACCCCCCTTAATTGTGAGAGGTAGCCGTGCTTGAAGGGGTCCCCTGCATAGGCTTCGGAGTAGTGATCGGTAGGTAGTGAAAGCTGGAATTGAGTGAAAAATACAGCAGGGAAGCACGTAGAACACTCTTCTTCGGGGCACCGAGGCGGGAGGAAGAAGGGGAAAGCCAAAGCCAAGACGAAGACGAAGGCTGCCATCGCCGACGTCGGTTGTTCCCGCTTCGCAGGTCGTGTGTACGGCGGCCGCAAGCATGCCGGTGGCGCGCAAAGGGGACGTGTCTGAAATGGGGCTTTATTGGACTCGATCGACAGAAGGGTGTGTTGTCCGGGACCACCACGGTGGGACACCTGGACTGGAGGTGCGGAATGAACCTGGTCGTAGAGATGGTCTAGAGAGCTCGCACGTGGGCGATAACTTGCCGGCGTCTTATCGATCCTCTCCCGCCTTTGGGGTCCAGGCTGAACGAGAAGATGCTGACGTGGCCGCGTATCGGCCGATCGTGGTGCTTTTCGGCTGGATGATGAGCAAGAGGGTGCATACGACAAAATACGCTCAGCTGTACAATCAGTCGGGATGGGACACGCTGACGTGTCATCCTCCAACTCTTCACATGTTCGTACTATGCGCGGATCGTGTACGAGTGCGTTTTTTTTTTTTTTTTTTTTTTTTTTATATCCACCCGAGGGTGGGTAGCCTAAACCGTATGTGTTCATATAGTCCGTAGAGTATTCCCGTCCTTATCGAGGGAGATGACCAGATCACTTTTGTGTGTGTGTGTCTTTGCTGAACGACCAAACAACAATCAAACTGCCAAAAGCCTTCCCCCGAGGCCAAGTCCCACTATCAGCGTCGAGTTTCCTCAACGCCTGAATCTGGACGTTTTTGTGGAGTTGTGCAGAAATCGCGTTGAGTTTCCTCAATTGTGCATCTCCACAAACACATCCAGATGCAGGCGTTTGAGGAAACTCAACGCTGATATTGGGCCTTGGCCCCCTGAAAACGCCAAGTCCCATTATCACCGGCCTCTATGATTGAATTTGCAATGGATTAAAAAAAAAAAAAAAAAAAAAAAATGCTAAGATCAAGTGTAGTATCTGATCCGTGGTCCATGGAAAAAAAAAGGCACCTATGCACAGTTCACGGTTCCGCTGCCCCTGTCGAGTGGGAGCCAAGTGGCGGCCTGATCGGATACCCCCCCTATCCCTCTTCTTTTCTACCCCTCTTGTTCTTTTTCTACCCCTCTTGTTCTTTTCAAACGTTGTCTTTCTCTGTCTAGGGGTATGCTTGCCGGTGATAAGCGAACGGACTGATGCCCCCCAGAGCAGA